CATGCGAAAGGCAAACACGTTGCCTTAGCATCAAGAAGGCAAGGGGTTTTTTGTTCTTGATGCCTCTGCTCCATGTTACGTTGGAGGCTCTAGCAACATAATTAGAAACAAAAATTAAGTATTCAGATTAAAAAGATAGGAAGTATCTCTATTTATAGGCAACATAATCTTCAATGTAGAAAATTTTATAGAACCTTCAAGAAAAGGCTATGAGAACTAATAAGCAAGTGAGGCATGGTTTCAGAATACAAAAGTCAATACTCAAAATCATTTGTAGGGACTAAGGATGCAGCTCATTCGTAGAGCACTGGCCTAGAATTCTAACAAGAGGCCCTGAGTTTGATCCCCAGCACTGTAAAAAAATGAAAGTGTGTTTATATATTAGCAATGAAAAATCAACAATTAAAACTTTTAAGTAGTATTTGAATACTTAGCTATAAACATAATAGTGATACACTGTCATCAGTGTATTGGTGTATTACTGTGGAAGATTAAATGTAGCCTGAATAAACAGAGGTGCTTTGTTCATATGTCAGACAATTCAGTATTGTTTAGATACATTTCGTCCCAAATTGGCCAATAGATTCAGGACAATCTTAGTGAAGATCCCAGCAGACATTTTATAGAAAATGGCAAGATAATTCTAAAATGTGTATGAAAATGTAAAGGATCAAAATAACTTTCAAAAAGAGCAAATCAAGACATTGTGATGGTGACATAAAGCAGACAAGTAGAAAAATGGGAAAAGACGGTCTATAAATAGGTCTGCAGATACATAGAAAAGTGATTTCCAATAAAGGTGAAAAGGCATAGTCTTTTTAACAGGGCTGCTGGAACACACAGATATTCACATTGAAAAAAAAAGAACCTCAGTCATGTAGCATACATTAACCCAAAATGATCAAAGACCTAAATGTAAGAGCTTAAAAAAATTAAACCTTTAGCAGAAAATCCTTGAAACCTTAGATTAGACAAAATATTTATTTTAGATATGGCCTCAAAAGTACAATCCATAAAAGAAAAAAATTAGTAAATTGGGCTTCATCAGATGAAGACTTTGGAAGTCACTATTCAGAGAATGAGAAGACAAGCGATGGGAAGCTAGAGAAAATAATGTGTTACATAAAGGACACTTGAGAACACATTAAGAACTCTGAAAACTCCATGATAAAGAAGCAGCCTGAGTTGGAATGGGCAAAGAGCCCAGCATGGTAATGCATGCCTCTAATCCCAGCATTTAGGAGGCAGAGGTAGGAGAATCTGGAGTTGAAGGCTAGCCTGGATTACCCTGTCTCAAAAATTAAATTTAAATTTTTAAATGGGCAAAGAATTTGAACAGGCAGCTGACAAATAAGCACACAAAAGGGGCTTACTGTCTTAGTCATTAAAGAAGGCAAATTGAAGCCACAAGGAGGTGTCACAGTGCACCGACAAGAATGCCATACAGAGGGAGCATGCTAAATATCAGCAAGGCTTTGGAAGAACCAGAGTGCTCATGCACTTCTGGGGAAATGTGAAATGATATGCCCAGATTAGAGAATGATGCAGTTTCTCAAAAGCTTCAACTTGTACATACCATATGATCTATCCACTCTTGTGGATACTCACCCAGGAGAACCGGAAACTCATGTCCATAGGAAATCTTAAGCACTAATGTTCACAGCAGCTTTATTTGTAGTAGCCCAAAATTGGAAACAACCCAAACACCTATCAGTAAATGTGAATGGATTAAAATTTGTACTACGTCTATGCAGCAAACACAACTCAGCAATAAAATAACATTTTTTTTTCTTTTTTATTAATTTTTTAGTTAACACACAAAATAATGGGTTTCATTATTGTATTTTCTTTTTAAATATTTTTTATTAATTCTTTGAAAGTTTCAGACGATGTAGTTTGATCATAGTCACCTGCCACTTCTCCCCCTAACTCCTCCAAATTACACCCCTTTCTCTCTCCAACTTTGTGTCTTCTTTTTAAATTATAACCTATCAAGTCCAATTTGTGCTGCCCACATACTCCTGGGTGTGGGGCCATCAACTCGAGGGTAGCCAACCTGCTAACTACCTCAGCCTTAAAACTGACTCTCCCTTCCCCAAAAGCCATCAACTGTCCCTAGCTCCTCAGTTAGAGGTGGGGGCTCATGAACTCCTTCCCCCTCTATGCTAGATGTTGACTGGCTTGATCGTGTACAGGTCTTGTGCAGGTAGCCTCACTGACTGTTAAGTTCATGAGTGCAGTGGTCCTGTCATATGAAAAAACACTGTTTTAGTCCAGTTCCCCTGACTTCTGGCTCTTACAGTCTTTCTACCCTCTCTTCCACCATGGTTCCTAAGCCTTGATATGGATGGGGTTAGTATAGATGTCCTGTTTGTGGCTGAGCATTCCACTGACACTCTCTGCAGTTGGACTAGTTGCACATTTGTGTTAGCCACCATCCACTGCACAAAGAAACTTCTCTGATGAGCTTTGAGAGCTGCACTTAATCTATGAGTAAAAAGATGGGAATTTAGAGGGCAGATGATACTATGTCCAGTTAGCAGAATTAATAGTAGTAGGTTCAACCCTGGAGCCTGTGAGCTTCCCAATCCTGGGTTCTTGACTAGATTTGCAACACCAGGCATATGTCTCCTCATGTGGATCAGACCTTAAACTCAATCGGAAAACTGTTTGTTACTCCAAAAACATTACTATTGCACCTACGGGCATATCCTGCCGTGCCGGTCATTATTGTAGTTCACAGGGTTCACAACTACATAAGACTATTAATGATTATTTTCTTCCAGCAGCCCACGTAGCACCTTTTGGTACTGTGAGAGCTAGCCAATGGGAAGGAAGCTTCCTGGTCAGTACCAACTTGATTTTCTCCATGCCCTATGACCAATGTGCATGGTGTCTTCAGCAATAGGGTCTTACCGTTAAGTTCTGGTGTGTGGTCAAGAGTTATGGCAATTGTGTGTATTGTTTGGAGGTTGTGTGGGACACCTTTGACCAACAATTCAAGGAAAGGTATCCCGTACCTTGTACTAGACTTTATATTTGTCAACCTCTGGCTTCTGGGAGGAGCATAATCCCCTGTGAGGAGTAATCCCAATTAAATTCTTTCATGTGGCTTTTTCAAAAACCCTTAGTGTTGGTTACCTCTCCCTCCACCCCCTCCTCTGTCCTACCCTCTCAACCCTCTCCCCACTGAAACCTCCCTCCCTAACTAACATTATGGCATCTTCATACATGTATTTTATTAGACTTTGCTCGTTTCCCCCACTGCCTTCACGTGAACTCCCTTCTTTCTCCACCTCCTCCTGGTCCCCTTTCTCCCTGAAAATAGTCCCCCCTTCTGTTTCCATGTAGTATGTACACATAAGATGCATTGTCTGTGTGTATGAAATTCTAGATTCTGCATATAAGAAAATTAAATACTTCATCTCCCCCCTCTGTTACTTTCTTTTGTTCTCCCTCTCCAGAGACCCCTTCTTCCCCTACACAGTCCCCTTCTCCTTTCACATTTAAATCTAGATTTTGCATATGAGAGAAAACATGCTGCATGTGCCTTTCCAAGTCTATCTTGTTTCACTTTCTAGTTCCATCCATTTTCCAAATAACATGACATTCTTCCAGTGTGAATAAAACCCTGTTGTATATATGTAGCACATTTTCTCTATCCATTCATCTGTTGATTGTCATCTAGCCTGGTTTCATTTCCTAGCTATTGGAATAGTGCTGCAATAAATGCAGACATGCAAGTACCTCTGGTATGGTGACTGAGACTCCTTCAGGAGTTGTACATCTAGGTCATATGAGTAGTTCACACTTTAGCTTTTTGACACATCTCCACACTGATTTCCATAGTAGTTGTACCAGGGTACGTTCTTACCAACAGTATGCAAAGAGGAACAAACTTTGATATAGCCAGCAGTATGAGTACATGGGTAAAGAATTATTCTGAGTAAAATGATTTAGACAGAATAGGATATATATTCTGTGATTCCATTTACATATAACTCTGGAAAAGGCAAACAGATACTGTCAGAAAGCTGACCAGTGCAGGGTCACTGAGAGGTGCAAGGAAGGACCTAGTCCAGGGTTTAGGACTCTGGGTGATATTTATGTTTACTATGTTTATTGTAATGATGGCTTCCCAGTTGCATACATATGTCAAAATAACAATCACTACAGATATGTAGAATTTGTCTTACGTTAATGCTGTTTTCAAAAATAAGACAGAAAGAAGACTTGCTACTGGAATGCATACTGCCAATAAGTATCAGAGAAAACCACATCCTATAATGTAATTGTGGACAGTATATTTTAAAATTCCTCCAAGGATACTTTTTAAAGCAAAGAAGGCATCATAAAAGTAATCTTTACCTGGAGTGTATCTTTTTCAGGGTTCCTAGGGCAATAGTGTTTCCTTGAAGATGTTCATGGGTTCGCTGCACGGTTCCAGTGACCACAGGGTTAGGGTTTTGTTGCTCATGCTTTGTCTTGAAGTGACAGAGGACAGATGTAATAGCTGACTGTGTCTGCGTGTACAGTTTAATTCATTCATTAAAGTATATCTTTTGGTTAGATATTTAGTCTACTTAACATCCTAGCCAAATTTCAACTTGGAAACTTGCATGTATTTCATCAAAACACATTTCAAATAATTCAAAACGATTCATTTCCTCTTAATACAAAACTATTTAGTGCTTAACTAATTATACCTAAAAGTTTCATTTTAGCCTCCTCAAAAATGCAAACTACTAACCTTAAAGTGTGTCTGTTTTAAGTGTTCTATTAAAAGACCCAAGGTTAAAGAATGCAAGTGCAAAGGCTCAGAGGGCTTGATAGATTGTGTTTCTCCAGACATTTCTGGCTTTGTTATGCCAGTCCAGCCTGACTGTGTTGCTTGGCAGTCCTGCTCCTTCTGCCAGGGTCATGGCAGTGGAACTGTGATGGTCTTTCCTTCCTTCTCCATCACTCTGGCAGGGATGGTGACCCAGTCTTTTTTCTTCCAGGGTTTGAACGGCATGTCTGTGGATGAGAAGCCTGACTCCCCCATGTACGTGTATGAGTCCACAGTTCATTGTGCCAACATCCTCCTGGGCCTCAATGACCAGCGGAAGAAGGACATTCTCTGTGACGTAACATTGATCGTGGAGAGAAAGGAGTTCCGAGCTCACCGGGCTGTGCTGGCCGCGTGCAGTGAATATTTCTGGCAGGCGCTGGTTGGACAGACGAAAAATGACTTGGTGGTCAGCTTGCCTGAAGAGGTATAGTCACTTGGTTTATTTGTGTGGTTGTTACGGGAGGTTTTATTGACTTATAAAAAACTGCTAAGTAGGAGGTAAAAAGTGTATGCTATACCACATCGATGTCCACGTCACCCACGTGTTGGTTTGTGGCATAGCCAGTTTCTGTTTGATACACTTGAAGTCTCAGATGCATGAATACAAAGTGAGCATGCCTCTTTAAGGGAACTGAACCTCACCGGGGGCCCAGGCCCTCATAGTTTCTAGTTCACTTAAACTTCGGATTTTGAATAGTTCAGCCTCAGTCTAGTGCAGTCTTCAATGTGGGATCTGAATCACTGCTATGGTTTCTCTCTTTCAAATGGTTTAAGGATTGCCTGATTTCCCTTGAGAATAAAAGAGTGAAAGCATTCACAGGACCTTCCTTGCTTAGGAGAAAAATAAAGCTGCCAGAAATTCTCATCATTAATATAGTGAGATTCTAAGAAGTGTAAACTTGCCTTTCTCACCAGTGTGGAAAATACCCCCTCAAGTTTCTTAATTACTTCAGTGAAGCCAGTCATTTTGGTACTTTGGGGACACTAGGACCTGCTCTGTCCAGAGATTACAGTCAGGTGTTTTGAGCAACAGGGACTCAAAGGATGGGCTTCATAATGGTAAACCGCTAAATTGGTCACTCTTCAAACTGTGTGTACAATTCTTTAATCATTCTGACCTCCCTCTATTTTCAGAAAACTAAAGAGTATTTCTAAGTATACCTAGGCTTTTATAATCAGGGCAGAGTATTCTCTCTGCACCGCCACACAGTGTAAATCCTAGAGCCACCACCAGCCAGTTGCTAACTGTGCACTGCACAAGATGCAGGGACACAGCTCACATCCATTGTCTTCATAAATAGAGATCTAGGGTTGCACATCCTTCCCCTGAGCAGCTCTTCACATCAATCTTAGGAGAAATCAAAGATCTTTCACTTAGAAGTACAGAGTTAAAGATTACAACTACCACTAAATTCCAGGAGTCACAAACCTAGATGCCTTCAGAGACATGGCAAGTAATATTAATGAGTAAACAGGTTATATGTAAAATAGGAGGAAGTGAGGAGGCAAGCACCTTCTCCACCAAAGGACACCCCAGTCTAACCTGAAAGAAAGACAGAAAGGGCTGAGGTGAAGCCCAGTGATAGAGCACTTGCACAGCATGGGCCAACCTCTGGGTTCAGTCTCTAGCACTGAAAACAAGATGTGTGTGGCTACCTGCACAGAGCAGAAGAGTGGACCTCCAAAGAAAGTGAAGACGGAATAAGCATCAGCTATCTTCATGAATGAACATCCTTTTTATATTCACCGTGAACTGCGCCGTTTCTATTCCTCATGCAGTAGTGTGTACGTGGCTAGAGAGACGTGACAAGGAAAAGAACAACTCATCTGAAGATGAAGTAAGCAGTCTTGGGCTGGGTAACGGACCCTCATGTACCAAAGAACAAAAGAAGACAGAAGAATGAATGGCAGCCGAGGTGTGGTCCTGGGTTGGGCTTTCCCCATCTGCACTAATGGGGCGTAACACAGATGTCTGATGAGTGCCCCTAGAATTAGGTGAGATAATAAATGGAAGGTTTTCTGCCCAACCCACTCCATAGCAAGCATTCCTCAAACACGGTCCTTTCTTCTCTAGATGGGAGCAAGAACATCTTCCTTACTTATTCCAACTCTAGAATTCTCTGGAACTATTTATAAAACTTCCAGTTCTCCAAAGTAGTCTTGGGGAAGGAAGTGATCTTATTGTATATTTATTATTTGTTTTCTGTTTGAGAGCCATTTCATGTGTATGTATATTTTACTGATTTTCAAAAAATTAGGTGATCTTAAAATATATATACAAATGAAAATCATACTTTATGTAGTTAGTCTCTTCTTTGACTCTGTTGGCCCCATCTTGAGACTCTCTAGACTGTGTACCCTAAGCCCAAGCCTGTTCCCAATTATAACTTGGATTCTGATCTAGTTAATCTCTCTAAGCCCCAGTTCTTGTAAGAATCTGAAGCCCTTAGAATATTTATCAAAATATAATACCAGTCTGGTGAAATGTAAAGGAAGACAGGATATAAACACATATTACAAATCCGTGAAGTTTCATTTCAGATCGAACACTTAATATAATTCTTTCTCTCCATGGCATTACACATGCCCCTTCAAAGAGAACACTGCCTGCTGTGGTGGACATCTCATAAAAGTCTACTTGACCTTTCTGCTTGTATTACAGTTGAGAAAGAATTGTCTGTGTAGTGATTTTGCTGCTCCAGCCCTGCAAAGTGACTTCCATCCCTGTATCATCTATGCTACACAGCTTTCTATGCTACTCAGCTTTCTGTCACTTGGTAAACATACTCAAGAGAAACAACTTAAAGGAGGAAAGAATTCTACTGGCTCGCATTTCAGTGGTTTCTGTCCATAGTCACTTGTCTCCACTCATTCACGGCGATGAGGCAGAGCATCATGGCAGAACAGTATAGTGAAATAGAGCTCGCCTCATATTGGCCAGGAAGCAGAAAGAATAAACTAAGGACCAAACAAGACACATCCTTTAAGGTGGCACCACCAAGACTTACTCCAACCAGGCCCCACTTCCTTTAGTTTCATTGATAATATTTGAGCCCATGTGATCCAGTTACCTCTAAGCACTGCTGCATTGGAGGCCACCCTCAGCTATGCCTCTAGGGGCTATCTCAGACCAAAACTATTAAAATCTGTTCATTGTTCATGTTCCTGAAATCTTCGGTTATAACTAGATATGTTGTTTTTTCCTTAATTAACATGAATTTATATTAATAGTAACCCAGCTCTTAAATGTCTTTCTATTGGGGCCTACAAACCAGCCCCAGTGGCATTTTCCTTTGTGGATCTGCAGTTGTTCCAAGACCTACTTTGGAGAGCCCTCCTCCTCTGTTCTGAGCAGCCTGTTCATGGCCCTTTGCATTGGACATTGTTTTCTGCTGCTTCTTCTGTGCACCCTGAAATATACTTGCGGGCTCACACTTAGCTCAGTGAATGACTTCGTACAATTTGAATGAAGTTGCAAATCAGTAAACATCACCTTAGAAAGTAACTACCTGGAATTAAGTGATATTTAGATCTTATAAGGAAAAGCATTAGATAGCGCCCTAGAAATTGTTGACCTCACATAATCCTATCACTGAATTCAAATCAACTTCTGGCCTTCCTTCACCCTTGTTCACACTTGCCACACCTCCCCACACACACCAGACAGTCAACACTGTGTGTCTCAGTCTCTGAGTTTGTCCTCACACCAGGAAACGTCCTAAAGCAAACTGTAGCCCTACCCCGCTCCTCCTTCTCTACCAGTTGCAATTCCAGCAAGTGCCAACTACCTGCAAGTCCCACAGTTTTACCTCCAAATTCTGATTCATGATGGGAAATAGCAATACCAGCAAATGAGAGCCATTCACAACCTCTGACCTGAGAAAGGGGAGAGAAAAATAGATGCCTCCTTCTTGAAGTCAAGGAATAATTGAACTGGACTGCTTTTACCTTTATTCCCTAAAGTGGAATGACAGAGACTGTAGGGTCAGTATAATCTGAGTGTTGTCTGTAGACACACACACACACACACACACACGGGGGAGGTCAGCAAATAGGAGAGACCACTGTGCCTAGTACTTCTCCATAATAGAGCAGATCATTTATCATTAGTAATTAAGGTCTTTGCTAAGAGAAGAAAAAGTGGCTGATGTTCCAGGCCCCTCAGGGCAGCTCTCGCACTTATTAGATTGAAGGTAACCCAGCAGACAGCACTTTAGCTATCATTCCGGAGGACATTTCAAACTTGATGCTCACCATGCCAGAGGTGGCCCATGGTATATGGAGTACAGAAGGCTAGTGTGGACTGTGCTTCTTTAGAAGGCCTGTTCATAGCATCCCTTCTCAGAAGGCTGCTGGGCTCCCTGCCCCTCCCCCTTCCCCAGCCCTAACAAGGTACTATCCAGAGATTACTGTCTCTGCACTATCACTTTTCTTGATCTTGTTTCCTGTGTTCTTTCACCATCCAGAGAAGGCAAAAGCTTCATGCAGAGAATGACTGCAGGGCAGAAGAGAGTAGACCCCTTCAGGGAGTCTTATGTCTTCTAGCTATTATAAATATTTTCAACCTGTGCTAGCCTGTTTCCTCACCCCCAACAACTCAGTAAGAAACTTTTTGGTTTTTTTTTTAACATAACAATGGATAGAAAGTGGACCCTAAAGAACGCTGAGTCCTGACCCCAGGGTGTGGTAGGATAATTTCTGGCAGAACTGCCAAGCACCAGAGTCCACAGCAAGATTACAGAACTTTCTCTCCCACAAGATTTCATAGAGACTATGAAAGCTGTTAATGTCTCTAGGGTGGTTTAGGAGACTCTCTTAAGGAAACAAGACAACCATGGTTATATTTGGATGGTCCTTGCTTAATGTACTTAATGCTGTTTGTGATGCTTAATGTACTTAATGCTGTAACACAGGGTTCCAACAGCCCTCAGCCTGGGCAAGGCTGTTGGGGAAGAAGTTCTGAGGGGCACAGTGGACAAAAGAGTCAGAAGGGAAAAGTACTCAACCACCCCTGAGCCAGAGCTGGCCCTTTGGCCTCCTCAGTTCGCCACCTAAGAGAACGCTGAGGTAAATACCACCATTCTGCTTTTAAAAGCATAAAGGCAAGTTTTAGGGACTGAGAAGCCACTGATGGAACCATGTCCTGTGACTACTCAAGCGGTCAGTGTCCTCAGGCTGTGTTCTTCAAGCATTTATTCATAAATTCAACAAACATTTATCAAGGTCCTGCTGTGTGCCAGGAGGTGCCAGTCTAGGTGTTGGGCGGACCTCACATCTCAGTGGGAAGAAGGTGAAAGGACAAAAACTAGTCAATATCAAATGCACTTTGTCGGATGCTGCTGAGGAAAATGAAATGGGGGCGGGGAGGGGGGCAGTAGGGAATGTCAGGGGAGAGGCATTGGGATTCTAAACAAAGTAGTCAAG